TTTGAGAATGATGAGGGCAATGAATGTACAAATGTGCTTTACACAATTGATGTGTGTATGGATTGTGATAAGATTGGTATGAGCCCCTAATAAAATGATTTTTTTTAAAAACCACCAGTCATGAATAAGAGCACAAGGCGAGTGCTTCTCCTATCATGAATTAAAAGCAGGGAGACACAGACGCCTGGGATACCCCGGCACAGAGCCACCCACCATCGGTCGGAGTAGCGCTGCTCAAGCCGGGGCTGCGGCAGATTGGTTTCCCGCCATCGGATGACCTGGCTGAGGACCTCGCCGTTGGACAGGTGTGAGTAGGGCTGGGCAGCGTTGTCGAAGAGCTCCCAGAGGGTCACGCCCAGGGACCTGTGGGAACAAGGGAAGGGTTGCTTCCTGGTCGAGGTCAAGCGCCTCACACCCTTGTTGTGGGTCTGCAGGGTCACTGGTCATTTCAGGAATGGCTGACGGATAACATGAGGTTCTTTAGCGTGAAAAAAGAACCGTCAAACTTGATGGCAGAGTGACCATCAAGAGCGGCAAAGAGGCATCTCCAGTAAGACCCAGGGCAGACAGGCCAGCCCACCCTTCACTCTGCACATGGTTCTGAGTTTTGGCCAAGGCAAAGTCGTGAGAGTCGGAGATGACAGGCATCGTCCTCCTAGAGAAAGCACAACCAAACCACGCAGACTCAATCCGCTGCCCCGGTGACCTCTGCAGCGGTGCCAGCCTCTCTCATACTCTCGGTCCAGCGCCGTCCGCCTCCCACCAAGGAAGCTCTCTGGGAAATGGAAGCGCGGTAGGACGTGGCTACGTAAAGATCCAGTGACATGACCAGGTGGCCAGCACGTACCAGATATTGCTGTATTTCGTTTGGTCTGCGGTCAGCAGTCTGTCCTGGAAGCTGGTGACTAATTCAGGGGCAGTCCACCGGAGAGGGAACACTTTCTTGTCATCGGTTTCAATGTAGTCCTCCTGAGGGATGGAGAGGCACAGGGGATTCTGAGCAGGGCCATACTTTGGGTGAACGCAGTGAGTGAACTCCAGGTGATTCTCAGAATGAACATAGCCACCCCCCCAAAAAAAACCACTATCAGGAAGGGGGAAAAAGTGGGTCTGAAGAGAGGTTCCTGGGAGAGGGTGGGTGAGGGGTTTCCCAGAAGTCTCAGGGGTGCCACAGCTGCTCTGAGCCTTGACCTCCAGGTGGCCTTTCCTGGAAAGTGAAGGGACGCCGTGTCTGAGGCACAGACCAAGAACTTGAGAATACCAGGCCCTGCCCTCCGAATGTGTTTCTTAGGACGAGCCTGTGAGAACAATGCTCACAAAGTGGAGGCCACGTGGTGCACGCAGGGCCTCCTGGGCTGGTGGAGTCAGACAACAGCCTTCTTTCCACGCACACACCCACCAGTTCTCAATGATCCTCCTCCCTGTTCAGGAGGGAAAGGTATACTATGACAAGAAGAGAAAGACCTAAGTCCCAGGTTGACAGCATCTGAGCTGGGATAGGACTTCACACGCATGGGTGCGCGCTCGAGATTTGCTTCACTCTGCAGGTGACAAGGGTGACCCCCCCATGGGCTCATGCTGAGGGGCACTGGGCACTGGGTCTCAGTTCCAACACTACTCGGGACGCCGTCGCAGAAGTCCCGGCGGAGCCCTTTCCAGGAAGGCACCTGGCCGGGCCGCCCTTCTCCCACAAGACAGCATCAGGGCTGTGACGGTGAGCCAGAGGGAGGGGCCGCGCCCAGGACCCGCTTACCTTATACCTGCTGAACCCGATGCCATAGTCCCCCACTTTTACATTCAAGTCAGAGGTCAGGAAACAGTTCCGCAGGGCTAAGTCGCTGCAACAGAGAGGGTGCGAGCGTGTGAGAACCAGGAGAGCCCCTCGCTTCGTAGCACTGCGCGTCTGTCCCACTCCGGCGACCCCTCAGACAGGGCCACATCCAGGAGACTGCCCCACGTTGGACAACACAAGCTTGTGAGACTCCAGTAACAGGCTAGAGCGCATTTATTTTAAGACGAATAGTTAGAACAGTAAGCACCCCAAATTAAGAATGTCTGTCCCCACTTTTATGAGATAAACAAACATCACCATCAGGCTCTTTCCACATTACTCTCACCTCCACCAAATTCCAGCTTACCACCAAAACTCGAAAACACAAAAACTGAAAAACCAGCTCTCTGCCATCGAGTCAGTTCCAACTCACAGCGGCTTTAGCAGAGCCGCCCCCGAAGCCTCTCTGGAGCACACGGGCCACGAGTTCCACTGCTGACCTCGTGGTTAGTGATCCACCGCACCCCTCCACAAGGGGGCAAAGACAAGTCCACTGGAGACTCACGTGGGACTGACAAACAGCAAGGGGCGGTGGGGGGGGGCGGGGAGGGTCTGCAGCTGGAAACCACCAGCGGCTCCGAGGGAGACGGACGTCCACCAACAGTTGCAGCCTCCGGCGGCCACAGGGGCACTATGAGTCAGCACTTCATGGCAGAGAGTTTTGGGTTTTGGAAACAAACTATTCACTATAAGGAAGAACACTTTTTCAAAAATACATCATTCAACAAAGAAAAACTACTTTGTGTAAGGGAACTTCCAGTACAGGTCTCAGATGAGCTTTGGGGTCTGGTCCTTAGAATCTCTTCACTTCTCAGGAGAAAAGAGCCACTGAATGAAGCTCGAGCCAGGTACCAATCCTCCTCCCAAACAGGGTTTCTTTAGCTTAACCTTGTAAATGCGTGTCTTTACATGATCGTAGGCCAAAACCTGGAGTTCTGGAGGTGCAGTGTCACGTGTGGGCTGTGCCCCGCAAGGCTGTGTGTTGGAAACCACAGGGCTTTCCAATCCCATAAGAGGGGCAGTCCCGGAAATCCACAGGGGCAGTTCTGTAGGGCCGCTGAGTCGGCATCCACTCAATGGTACTGAGAGGCCCAGAACACAAAACACATGATCAAATGCTTCGTTTCTGAAATCACCACAGTGGTGGAAATGCCGGTCACAAGGTGTCTGTTTTACAGCTGAGGAAAATCAAGGCTGCCCAAGTCTCAGACCCTCCATACCAGGACCATTTAAGAGTCCTCACTATCAGGCTCTGAATGCTCTCCCTGGCGTCGGTTGAAGCACCGCAGAAGGTATGTGAGGGGCTTCAACCCAGCCGTGGGAAAATCCCGGTATCTTTTACGTCTATTTTCCATGAGCTTCCTATGCGGCCGGATGGACCAGCTGAAGGCAGTTGACCAGGGCCTGTGGGTCAGTGGGGCTTCCAGTCAGTGGCGGTTTTCGGGAGAGCACGGTGAGTTAGGCTGCGTGTGACTGAGTTCAGGGAGCATCGGCTACATGGACTGGCAGCTCTGAGCTCACAGCGCCACTCCTTGCCTCCTGCGACGGCAGATGGGCAGGGTCGCCCAGGCACTCTCGCCATGCACCCCAGCCCACAGCTCACTCCATTCCCACCACGGCCCTCGCAGGGAGGGCAGAGAGAGACCGCAGAGGCACAGAGAAGTAGTTTTGCTGTGGTCAAAGACAGGAGTACCTCTGACGCCCGCTCCACCCTTGATCCCCAGGGTCTTTTCTGGCCACCTGGCACCTGCCACATGGGCCGCTCCACGGAGCAGCTTCCCCCGACACTCAGTGGGGGCCTTAGATATAGCCAACGTGACGCTTAGACAGGAAGCGACCTGGGAACGGCCTCCTGTGAGGAGCCCTCCAGCCCCACGGTGCTCTCAGGGCAGGGGCCTGCTTCTCGGTACCTGGAAACGAGGCAACGAGGCGGGAAACCAGGGCACGCCTGGGGCTTCCTGACACGCCTGCACTCACACAGGCCAGCCGGGAGCACTGGCTCCACAACCCAGAACTGACTGTGACTTTGGGCAAGTCCACGAATGCACGGGAAGGCCGTGCCTCTCGGGGAAGCACAGTGAAATGTCTGAGAACCAGCAACGGGCCTCCCACACTCGAGGGAATGACATCCCTCCGTTCCAAGCTGGTGAAAAAGCAACACCCTACCTCTACACATCACCCGCAAGAGCAGCTGAGGATCAGCACGACACAGGGTGCAGCTTCTGAACAAGGCTGACTCTTGACGTCAATGTGCCCATCAGGTCAGGAAGTGCAAACACATGCCTGGGGCAGGCTCCTCGCAAGCCGTCAAACAGGTCGAGTGACCAGGCTGCATGGGCCGGGAGGGTGCCCTGGCAGGCCACCATTCTGCTGCAGTGCGCGCACACGCGCGCGGTGCGCCCCCCTCTCCATAGCCCCTCAGCCTGTGCAGCCCTCCTGCAGCTGCTGGCAGCAGCACGGGGTCCAAGGCTGTGGGTGGGTGGTGGGATGCAGGAGCTGTGGTGGTGGCCTCGGTGTCACCAGAGCACCACCTGGAGTATAAATAGGTCAGGGCGCAGATTCTCAGGGAACCGCCTGACTGTCCCAAGTCCATGCTAGGATGGCTGTCCATCTACCCTGGGAAGGAGACAGCTCCACGTGGCTCAGCCATTTTCACAACGACCCAGTCTGTTTATGCCAGCAGCACGGGGTTCTGCTCTGCCCACATGGGCAGGGCACCCTGGGCGGGCTCCTCGCTCCCCACACCACCCTGAGCAAACCCGAGTGCCTGCCTAAGCCAGAGAGCCGCCCGTGGGTGCTGAGCTACAGCTACCGGACAGTCCCCCGGGGGCTTGGCACACGACACCTCGCTTCATCTGGACAGCAGGCTTCGGGGTAGAGAGAATCCCATTTCACGGGAGAGTTAGGTGACGTGGCTTACGTGCTTTCATGGTAAAGTGAGTGCCCAAGTTCCCTCCCGTCTCCTCCCTGCCTCACACCAGGTAGCCTTTGGCAGCCTGGAAGGTGGAAAAAAACCACCAAACCACTGCTGGGGCTCGGAAGAGACTCAGCCGAGCAGCCCCTAAGACGGGAGCTCCCTCAAAGAGGCACAATTGGAAACTGGACCCAGAGAGCTCTGGCAGAGCCTCACCCGAGGCCGAGGCGGCCTGCTCACTGGTCAGCTCTTACTAGGAGAGCGACCCTATTCACTCCCTGCTAGCCGACTGCAGCCCAGGCACCACAGGCTGTGGACACACACAGACCACGTCCTCGGCTGGAACATGGCCACCACAGGAGGGCTGGGACCCGAGGGCTGGTGACAAAGCAGGGACACTGTCCTCACTCAGTTCCCAGGGATACCTGGAGCTGGACAGTGGAGGCAGACAGCAGGGCCTTCATGGGACTCGCTGCCTAGCTCTGACTTAGCTGGACGGAGGTGGACAGCTGCACACAGCACTGAGGACAGCCGGCTGGGTGCTGTGCCTGCAGAGAAGGCAGTAGAGGGGGCTTTCTGATCTGGGCCTCTTCCCAGACTGAGCCCAGGGGGCTCCCCGGGCCATGTCACCAGGGGCCATGGTTAGAGGTTGAGGTTGCATGTGGGCGTAGCCACAGAACCCACAGATGGCCTAACATCAGTGCAGGGCCAGGGGAGGCCTTGCAGTGGCCACGTCTAGAATCAGCATCGGGCCTGGCTGACAGGACAGGGCCCCACACCAGCGTACAGCGGTGGCCGGCGTGTGTGCTGCGCCTCTATAACTTGGTTTTAAGACACGGGAGGACTCTGGAGACGCCTGCCCTGAAAATGTCTTCAAAGCTGAATGGAAACTAGCCGTGGAGACCACCTTGTCATGAACCAACAGACTGGCTTAGGAATGAATGAAAACCAGCAGCCACTCCTGGGCACCTGACAGAAATCACCTACGTCAGGTGGGAAAGGAAGGGGGCGGGGCTGGGACACCCGGAACAGTAGGGCTCTGAGTGGGGTCGCTGAACACCATGAAGAGACTACTGGAGGGGACCGTCACCACGCGGAGTGCAGCGAGGCCGTGCTCCCACACTGCTGACACCGTGTGAGCGACACAGGTCTGCAGAGGCGTGGGCTGCGGGGGCCGGTTTGGGCCTGAAGTAGCCGATCAGCAAAGTATGACATATACCAACCACCGAAACCAAGCCAAACTCACTGTCGTCAGTCAATTTTGAATCGTGGTGACCCTACAGGGCAGGGCCGCACTGCCCCTGTGGGCTTCCAAGACACTAACTCCAAAGGAGGAGAAAGCCTCATCTTTCTCCTGCAGAGCAGCAGGCGGTTTTGAGCTACTGACCTCGTGGCTAGTAGCACATCAGGGTCTGGTACAACACCAGAGCTCCTCCAGACCAGCCAGAGAGAGAAGCCCAACCTGCTTTGCTTACAAGAAGCACCTGCATATGATCTGGACCACGTGACTTACCACCAGCCATCGTTGTTTCTTCTAACGTTCACCAGATTCTACACCAGGTCACATTTCAACCCAAAGAAACTCAGACAATCGCATTTACTCTGACACCTTGGCGAGTTTTCAAAGTACACTCACTAAAGGGCTCTTGGCCTCTCAACGCACTTTCCAGCGGCCTTTGAGGACTTTATGAAGCCGAATGGGCTAAGATCCTCTTTCCTAATGCTCCACCTGCCGGCATCGCCAACTTCCTCATTCAGGTGCACACCAGGTAGCAATCCTCTCTACCTTAAGACACCTGACAACAAGAGCTCAAAAGCGACAGGCAGGAGCTCTCCACTTTAAGACAATCGACTGTCTTGTTTGGGGATTCTACCTCAGGGCTTAAGAAACCCCTAACCTTTCAGGTCCTTTGAAAAGGCCTGCTATCAGAATGGTTTATCCATTATAGAAAGTCAAACAAGATAAAGACCTCTAAGAACCACATTAATAATTTACCTTCTCTCTCCCCCTGAATGGTGGGAGTGGATTCTTCCACACCCCAGTGCATGCTCCCTCCCCCCCCACCCACTCCTCCCCACCCCCGGGAAACACAGCCAGCTGCTTCTCAGTGTAAGCCAGCAACGGGGCTGGGCTGTATTCTCGGTGCCCCCCAGCCCCCAGCCGGTCCACACCATGCAGGTGCAGGTGCTGCTTTCTAGGGGGGGGGGGTAGTGAAGCCAGCAGACTTGGAAGTCTGGGACAGAGCGCTAAGACATCACCTACGCCCGCCTGAGCCCCACTCCCCAGGCAGAGACGAATCAGTAGAATCTCCTGTGGGTGTGCACACCCCTTCCCCTGCCCCGAGGCAGGACAGGGAGCCTCTTTCACTGTCTCAACAAGGGGACATGGGCACACACATAGTGCCAGTCAAGTGGCACTGAAACCTGACCTGTCAATCACTGTGCCGCTCACACCCGCCACAGGTGCAGGCCCTTCAGCGTGGACCCCAACACTACCTGGATAGGAGCAGGGCTCTGGCTGAGGCTCTTACAGGAGGAGATGATGGACTCCAAACAGCTGCACACCCCCTCTTCTGGCAGACCTGGACTGGTCCGCTCGGTGACAGCCTGACAACCAGCAATCAACAGAAGCCTGATGCCTCACAGAACCCCATTTCTCTTGAATCCATTCAGACTCGGAGGGAGCTGCCCGACCCCACTTCCAAAGCCTTCAGCTCTTTGGAAGCACACCGCCACTTCTTTCTCCCTTGGAGCCCCTGGGGGCTGAAAGTGCCCACCTATGGGTCAGCAGCTCAGCGCTGTAAGTCTCAGTGCCTTCAGAAGCCCAGCACAGCATTGAGCGGGTGCACGTGGGTGCCAGCGATGTCAGTGAGGGTCCTTGTGGAAACAGTGGTGCTGTGTGGCTTGTTCTGTCTCAAACCAAACCCACTGCCATCGAGTTCAGTGCTCTGACTCTCACCTTCACGCCAGGGCAGAACTGCTGCTGGGGCTTCCATGACTCATCTTCACGGGAGGAGGGTCTCATCTCTCTCCCTTGAAGCAGAGGGTGGTTTCCCACTGCCGACGTCACAGTCAGCGGCCAAACATGCAACCACTATGCCACCAGCTCCTTGTTATGTCTATTAACTTTTCAAAGGGTGTGTGTTGGGGGTGGGGGGAGGGGGGTCTTCTGCCCACCAACTGAGAAACACAGGGAGTTTGGGATTCAGGAAACCCATCACAGCCCAGGGCACTGGAGCATGGTAGCACAGTAGGAAGACACGGTGCTCCCAAGCGGCAGCGGCCTGCCACAGGGGGCACAGGCTGCTGTCAGCAGCGGAGAAGGAGGGCAGCTGTGGACACTCACCTGTGCAGGAAGTTCAGCTTGTGCATGGCAGCCAACCCCGCGGCGATCTCGCAGGCCATCCTCTGGAGCAGCATGGTCTGCGAGTCCCCTCGCACGGGCTCGTGCTCGTTGCGCAGGTAAGCTTTCAAGTCGCCCTGCAAAGGGGCGCAGGCTTAGTTTTGGACTCGGCCTGCCCGAGGGAAGGGGCCAGCACATGTGTGCCTCTGCCGACAGCCCGTATTCCGCCGGGCTCCAAGTGACAAAGAACCTCAGCTGGGCCAAATTTCAAAGCTGACGGGAAACAAAGGTGCCCCAGTGAGCTGCCCTCCCCTCTCCAGGCCATCCATCCTGGTTACACATGCTCCCATCAGAGGGAGCTGCCCCCACCCGATGCAGTGTCTTCTGGTGGCACAGGGCAGGACCGCTGAGGCCTTCCGGTGCAGAACTCTAGAATCGCGAGTGGCTGGGAGACGTGTGGAGAGTAAGGGGAACCGCAGCGTCAACTTTGGCTCATCAGAGGGAGCTGCCCCCACCCGATGCAGTGTCTTCTGG